CCGGGCCAGGCGCTCCAGCGGGAAGTGCCCGCGGCGGGAGTTGAACCCGTGGCTGAGCGTCAGCAGGGCCTGGCGCCGGGCAGGGGCCACGTGGGGGTGCAGGGCGCAGCTGGCCAGGTAGGACAGCCCCCGTGCCCGGCGGAAGAAGCGGGCCCAGTCCCGCTCCAAGAAAGCCCAGTGGATGTCCAGCGCCGTGCGCAGCTCCGGCGATCCCCGCAGTGGCGCCGGCAGGTCCAGGGTCTCTCGCAGGGCCTCAGAGGAGCCTGCGGGGGGGAAGCGGAGTCAGGACCCATCTCCCATCCTCCACCCCCGCGCAGCACCCCTTAGGGCTGGGGAATTGGGACACACGGTCTCCCATGCTCACCCTGACCCTCCCCAACCCTGCTTAGCTACCAGCCCCGGTCACCCCCGCTGAACTTGCCCCCCTGCAGTACAGCGCCCCCTGCTGGCTGCCCCCACCCAGTGTCCCCAGTACAGGGGGTGCAAAACACCCCCGCAGTTGGACCCCATTTCCTGGCAGCCTCAGCAGAGGCGGCTCCTGTGGTGCCCCACGCGGGCAGGGCACGTGGTGGGGAGCAGTGTCTGGGAGCGAGCCCGGGATCATGGGGCAGCGACAGCACAGGGCGGGGGCTGGCAATCCACTGCCCACGCGCCCCTGCCGTGAGTGCGGGTTCTGCGGGCAGGGAGCGGATCATGGCTCTGCCTGGCCCCACGCTGTCACCGCCCCATGATCCCGGCCCCGGACGTGTGTGTGGCTCCAGCCCGTCTCCATGTAGACCCTGGGATTGTGGTGCCAAGGTCCTGGCTCTGCAGGCAGGAACGTGCGGATCCCGAAGTCTCCAAGGAGACCAGCCCGGAGCAGCACAGCTGTGTCCGGGGCCAGGATCACAGGGTGGCGAGTGCGAGGCTGGGGCAAGGGCAGAGCCCGCGCTTGTGGCAGGTGCGTGTGAGTGGCCCAGTGCTGTCACCACCCGGGAGGACCCGGCCCTGCTCTACCGTCTCGGCTCCATCCCAGTGCCCCCTGCCTGCGCCTGTCCTGCCCCTGGCGGTGGGTGTGGGGCAGATGGGCTGGGGTACCTGGGCAGTGGGCACCATGACCAGAAGAGCCAGGGCTGCCAGGAAATGGAGTCTGGCGGCCTACAGGCCGTATTTCGCCCAGGTTGCCCGGGCCCGGTACCTCACCCAGGTTGCACAGCAGGAAGCAGGCCTGGAAGAGGGGCTGGGCGCGGTGCGGGCCGGGCTCCCGGTAGCAGCGCCGCAGCCCGGCGAAGGTCTCCTGGAGCTGTGCGCGGTGCAGGTGGGGGTCCCAGAGGGCTGGGGGCCGGGCACCCAGGCGGTAGCCGGCGTGGAGCAAGTAGGCGGCCGCCCGTTCCAGCAGGGTGGCGTAGGGCGCCCCCCGTAGGCCCTGCAGGGCAGCGTCCAGCCTCACAGCCCGCAGC